GGAAGATTTGCGGGCAGAGACAAATAAATGGGTAATCAATACTTATTGAAAATGAAAAGGCGCAAGGCTCGCTCACCATAGTAGGCTGACCGATGTGCGCGTTGTGCCTTTTCCTTTTCAATGATGATTACATTTTTTGATTGCACTTCGACTCACGTTGGTTGAGCGCCCTCCACTTCTTTTCACTATCAATATTTATTTACAGACACTGTAGTAAACTACAGTCTAATCATATTTTAAGTTAATGTAATATTTAAGTTAACTGCCACATGATTCTCTGCCCATGTAGGCAGCCTACTCTGTTTCAATGATGTTGTGTTCAGGTAGTGGTCTCGTGTGCAGTGCCAGCTATGCTCCAGGATCCAGGAAGGCTGTCCGTGTGCAGGACTCTGATATATCCTGATCAACAGAATGACTTATATATAGACTAGTAATCAGACAGGTGAGGACTCTGATTTATCTTAAATCAACAGAATGACTTTGTTTGGGAGTAATGGGACCCATCTCGTCCAAAAAGTTGACTCAAGTTTGCCAAAAAGCACCTGGATGATCATCAAGACTCTTGGAAGAACGTTCTATGGCCAGATTATTCAAAAATATAACTTTTTGGACGACATGGTTCCAGTAATGCCTGGCGAAAACCAAACACTGCATTCCACAGTAAGAACATCATACCAAAGGTCAAGCATGGTGGTGGTGGTGTGATGGTTTGGGGACGCTTTGCTGCCTCAGGACCTGAACAACTTGCCTTAATAGAAGGAACCATGAATTCTGCTCTGTATCAGATAATTCTACAGGAGAATGTCAGACCATCCGTCTGTGAACTGAAGCTGAAGCGCAGCTGGGTCATGGAGCAAGACAATGATCCAAAACACACAATCAAGTCTAAATGAAAATTGCTAAAAAGCAACAAATTGGAAGTTTTGGAATGGCCTAATCAAAGTCCAGACCTAATCCCAATTGAGATGTTGTGGCAGGACTTGAAACGAGCAGTTCATGCTTGAAAACCCACACATCACTGAGTTAAAGCAGTTCTGCATGGAAGAGTGGGCCAAAATTCCTCCACAGCGACGTGAGAGACTGATCAACAACTACAGGAAGCATTTGGTTGGAGTCATTGCAGCTAAAGGTGGCATAACCAGTTATTGAGTGTAAGGGGGCAATTACTTTTTCACACAGGGGAATTGGGTGTTGCATAACTTTGTTTATGAAATAAATATGTAATTGTTGTGTTATTTGTTAACTTATGTTCCCTTTATCTAATATTAGGTTTTGGTTGAAGATCTGATAACATTCAGTATCACAAATATGCAAAAGTAGAGAAAATTAGAAAGGGGCCAAATACTTTTTCATAGCACTGTATTTGCATATGTTATTGTCTTGTGAAGGCTGGCTGATTTCTGGCAAAGAGTATGTTCTTTTATCTCAGCATGTCTACAGATTCTCCCTTCGCCCTGTTTTTGTTTGCTTGGAAATGTTGATAATGGAGACTGTTATCTGAAGAAACTGTGTAACCAAGCATTTATAGCAGCTAAGAAATGCAATGCCATTCATTGGAAGGTTGGTTATCCTAACACAATGGCAAGTTATGGATCACTAGCTTTGATTTACTACCAGATTAAGGGTATACTGGGCAACTTTCATAAGGTCTGGATGCCTTATATGGAATACAGGACAACTAAAAGGAGTCTGCATTGAAAACATGCCCACGTCAGGAGAGAGACCTATTTAGACAATCCATAGCTGCTGGGCTGCTCAGTCCTGGCCCTGGGGGGTCTGCTGGGCTGCTCAGTCCTGGCCCTGGGGGGTCTGCTGGGCTGCTCAGTCCTGGGCCTGGGGGGGTCTGCTGGGCTGCTCAGTCCTGGCCCTGGGGGGTCTGTCGTCCTGTGGGTTGTCACTCTGGCCTTGGCCAACACACACAAAACCAATAATGAATGTTTCACTAAAATCCTAAAGCTGAGTGGGGTGGTGGACCACTAAGGACAGGACGGGACGACCCAGCTATTAAAAGAGCTACTATTACTATTAGGCCTATGAGAATAATTATATGGAGGATTTTCTGTTTCTGTGTGTTAATGTATATTTGAGGTGTGTGTGTGTTTTTTTTTTGTGGTGTTTTTTTGTTTCTAAAACTTTCCCTCGGGAACAAAACCAATTTAAAATGGAAAATGAGAAGGAACTTGTGTTGGGAGAGAGTTATTGACTAGACTGGTGGGGGTCGGGGAGAGAATTGAGTTATTGACTAGACTGGTGGGGGTCGGGGAGAGAGTTGAGTTATTGACTAGACTGGTGGGGGTCGGGGAGAGAGTTGAGTTATTGACTAGACTGGTGGGGGTCGGGGAGAGAGTTGAGTTATTGACTAGACTGGTGGGGGTCGGGGGAGAGAGTTGAGTTATTGACTAGACTGGTGGGGGTCGGGGAGAGAGTTGAGTTATTGACTAGACTGGTGGGGGTCGGGGAGAGAGTTGAGTTATTGACTAGACTGGTGGGGGTCGGGGAGAGAGTTGAGTTATTGACTAGACTGGTGGGGGTCGGGGAGAGAGTTGAGTTATTGACTAGACTGGTGGGGGTCGGGGAGAGTTGAGTTATTGACTAGACTGGTGGGGGTCAGGCGTGCAGGCAGCTTGGACTGGCTGGTCGATCTGGCTGAAATTTGAAATGGAGGATGTCTTTATATTTTTTCAAGAGTTGTTCATTTGTTAGGCTATTGGTTAAAGGTGCAACACAATATTTATTGTTGAATTACATTTGATGTAGTTCAGTCTTATTAATCACTTAAACATATTTAATAATCTTACCTAGCTTGATGACTGTGGGCATTTTTGCTTACTTTTTGTTCTAAATAGTGACGGCATATTGGAATGTGTAGAAATGCAGGAAATGAGCTTTAGATGAACAAAACAATTCTGGGGGAGGAGCCCCAGACCTCCTGCCAGGTTATGTCCCCCCTGTGGAACGTTGCCCCACTCCTCTTCAATGGCTGTGCGAAGTTGCTGGATATTGGCGGGAACTGGAACACGCTGTCATACACGTCGATCCAGATCATCCCAAACATGCTCAAACGGGTGATATGTCTGTTGAGTATGCAGGCCATGGAAGAACTGGGACATTTTCAGCTTTCCAGGAATTGTGTACAGATCCTTGTGACATGGGGCCGTGCATTATCATGCTGAAACATGAGGTGATGGCAGCGGATTAATGGCACGATAATGGGCCTCAGGATCTCGTCACGGTATCTCTGTGCATTCAAATTGCCATCGATAAAATGCAATTGTGTTCGTTGTCCTTAGCTTATGCCTGCCCATACCATAACCCCACCGCCACCATGGGACACTCTGTTCACAACGTTGACATTAGCAAACCGCTCGCCCAAACGACACCATACACGTGGTCTGTGGTTGTATTGCCAAATTCTCTAAAATGACATTGGAGGCGGGTTATGGTAGAGAAATGAACATTAAATTATCTGGCAACAGCTCTGGTGGACATTCCTGCAGTCAGCATGCAAAAACCTGTGGCATTGTGTTTTAGTGTGGTCTTTTAATGTCCCCAGCACAAGGCGCACCTGTGTCATGATCATGCTGTTTAATCAGCTTCTTGATATGCCACACCTGTCAGGTGGATGGATTATCTTGGCACAAGAGACATGTTCACTAACAGGGATGTTAACAAATATGGGCACGGAATAAGCTTTTTGTGCGTATGAACAATTTCTGGGATATTTTATTTCAGCACTTTACATGTTGCGTTTATATTTCTGCTCAGTGCACCTTCAAACATAGCAGCTCACAGTCACACGGTGTTCTCCTCACCCATTGTGTATGACTGGGTCTCCTCTACCAGGTGTCCTTAAGAGGTCGGTCTTCAGAGCTGTTCTCCAACCATTAAGTAAGGCACTCCAAACAAGGCTTCGATGTAGCATTGGTTTGAATGTCTGAATGTTTTTTCCAGTTTGTTCTTCACTTTCTAACTTTTCCCCTCACACCACCATGTCCAAAAATAGGATTGGGTTGCCAGCAGCATAGCATCCTGCATCATACCACGCTGCATCCCACTGCTGGGGGAAAGAACACCACCCCCCCCCCCCCCCCACCACACACACACACACACTATTCTATTATACCTCACCTCTCTCTCAAAGCCTGGAGCTAAGTCTCCTGGCAACCACGTAGTGAGAGTGAGGCTTGTGTTTGTGTGTCAGGCAGGAAGTTTCTCTGGTCTCTTCAGATTGGACACCGGAGAAGGGTATAAATTACCCCCAACACACACAATGCTCTGTCTCACACACGTACCATACAGTAACATGTTCAGTATAGCAACACAGTAACACACCAATTGCTTTAACAATCACCCATAACACATGCACAGACACCTACGAACACACACACACACACACACACACACAGACGATGGGGGCAGAGATAACATTCGTTTTATGAGTTTCCAAATCCCTTTGTTTAGCCCCTACCCCTCCTTCACACACACCCACCCACCCACCCAATGTCCAGCTGCCCCTAGAACACTTTTACACCTAACACAGTCAAATAAAACACGGAGATACACTCTCCAGTCTCTGAATTAGCTCATAATAGCCGTAGCCAATGGCGACAGGATAGGAAATTAGGTCTCAACGATTTCAATAATAAACGTTTAAGAATTAACGCTTTCAGAATGGGATTAACAGACTGCTGGAAACAGGTTCAGACCAAGAATAGCTCCTTAATTCCACCATGGCAAATCCACTGTTACACAGGGCACAAATAAATACCTATTTTACAAGTGAAGTGACAAAGGCAAAATACCCTTTTAAAATCTTTCCAAAATGTTTAAACTATTTATTTGAACATTTTGCGACCAAATATCTGTTAAATATACAACTTGCACCATCATCATAATCATCATGTTTCATTGTTCAAGTTAGAATGTGAGAAAAGCAGAAGCCCCTGTATTTACACTTTGCTTAAAGTAAAACTCCATCCAAAAACTATATTTTGGAGTTTGTTTCATTAGTCCATTGTTGATATTGTCATAGTCCCAAAATGTTTTGCAATCAAGTTTTCAAGATTTGTAACTTTCGAAATACAGAAATCATCCCCTGTATGATCCATTTAGCATCCATTAAGGAATGTCTCCATGGCCACGTTAAGGCCCGGTCTTTTGGCTTCCACATGGACAGAGTGAGAGAGAGTGAAAGTGCAAGAAAGAGAAGGTGCGGGGGGGGGGGGGGGGGGAGCTTTTATATAAGATACTCTGTGGTGATAGCATGATCGTGGTGAAAAAAAATACAATAAAAAAAAAAAAAATACATCGCTGGCAATTATAATCTGGCCACCTGCAACTCTAAATGATCCCCCTCTTGAAGCAAGACTTACAAATTATACAGTCCTAGAAACAGAATCTTAACATTGTACATTTAAAAGGGTTTCCTATTCTCTGTTAAAAGCCTGGGTTAGTGTGGTTAACCCCATCTATACCACAGTCTTGAAGGTCTGGAGTATTAGGTTGGTTTGGTGGATGAGCCTGTTCGCGCTGATAAACACGTTTATCGCCCTGGAAACAATTGAGACAGAGAGAGACACATGGAAGGCAGTGTCAGTCACAGGAAACCATGGCAACACTGGGATTGATACAGTGCTTTGATCTGTTGAAATGTCAGGCTTCAGAGAATCAACCCTAAATGTGATTTCACAGTGAATGGTAATTCAAATTATTAAACCACCCTGAAAATGCCAAGTATTGTTTCTGCCACACAGTCACATGTTCTACTAAGCAGTACACATTAACATTTTAGTCATTTAGCAGACGCTCTTATCCAGAGCGACTTACAGTTAGTGCATACATATTATTATTTTTTTCATACTGGTCCCCACAATAAACAAATCATTATATTGAATTCTGCTTATATCACGCTATACCACAATAAACAAAGTTAAAATGCTGAGAATCAAGACCATTGAGTGCTTTTTAAGTTTCAGGTTGGCATGAAATCTGTAACCCATCTCCTCTGCATCAGCCCAATGGACAGCAGCCTACACAGTAGAGCAAAGTCTATTTGGCAATGAATACGGGCAACAAGATAGATAGGGTAGTACAGTGCATTTCAAATGCTCTTCGCTTGATGATGCCTAGAGAATCCTTTGGTTCTATCAATAGCATGCTTCCGGTTAGAATACCGCCTTGGGTGAAGGCCTCGTCTGCGTTAGCATTGGACCAATACAGACATGGGAACCAAAACGTCCCATCTGCAGTAACCGAGTATTCCGGCCACTCTCTTCCTATGAACCAGTTGCTATTAAAAGGAACATTTTTGGACAGAAAACCTGCGGCTAGGGTAGGATTCTACGCTAACCTGGGCTGTCTCCTCTGAGGGGGCTGTGGAGCCATTATCCTGGCGGAAATTGTGGAAAGGGGGGTGGGCTATTCACGCGGAGCTCGGCAGCATGATTGCTGCTTGGCTTGGCGGCGGCCTTGGTGGTCTGATTTCTGATATCCATCGTGGCAGATTAGCTGGTTAGAGCTAAATAGGCTAACAACACTAAAGCCTTTTACCTGAACTCTGTAGTGGTGAGGCAGAGTTGAGTGAAGCAGATTCAACTGTGAACCTGACCCCATCCTTACAAATCAAAATGAAATATTACACTGGGGGAAAAAAGTATTTAGTCAGCCACCAATTGTGCAAGTTCTCCCACTTAAAAATATGAGAGAGGCCTGTAATTTTCATCATAGGTACACATCCACTATGACAGACAAAATGAAAAAAAAAAAAAAATCCAGAAAATCACATTGTAGGATTTTTAATGAATTTATTTGCAAATTATGGTGGAAAATAAGTATTTGGTCAATAACAAAAGTTTCTCAATACTTTGTTATAGACCCTTTGTTGGCAATGACACAGGTCAAACGTTTTCTGTAAGTCTTCACAAGGTTTTCACACACTGTTGCTGGTATTTTGGCCCATTCCTCCATGCAGATCTCCTCTAGAGCAGTGATGTTTTGGGGCTGTCGCTGGGCAACACAGACTTTCAACTCCCTCCAAAGATTTTCTATGGGGTTGAGATCTGGAGACTGGCTAGGCCACTCCAGGACCTTGAAATGCTTCTTACGAAGCCACTCCTTCGTTGCCCGGGCGGTGTGTTTGGGATCATTGTCATGCTGAAAGACCCAGCCACGTTTCATCTTCAATGCCCTTGCTGATGGAAGGAGGTTTTCACTCAATCTCACGATACATGGCCCCATTCATTCTTTCCTTTACACGGATCAGTCGTCCTGGTCTCTTTGCAGAAAAACAGCCCCAAAGCATGATGTTTCCACCCCCATGCTTCACAGTAGGTATGGTGTTCTTTGGATGCAACTCAGCATTCTTTGTCCTCCAAACACGACGAGTTGAGTTTTTACCAAAAAGTTCTATTTTGGTTTCATCTGACCATATGACATTCTCCCAATCCTCTTCTGGATTGTCCAAATGCACTCTAGCAAACTTCAGACGGGCCTGGACATGTACTGGCTTAAGCAGGGGGACACGTCTGGCACTGCAGGATTTGAGTCCCTGGCGGCATAGTGTGTTACTGATGGTAGGCTTTGTTACTTTGGTCCCAGCTCTCTGCAGGTCATTCACTAGGTCCCCCCGTGTGGTTCTGGGATTTTTGCTCACCGTTCTTGTGATCATTTTGACCCCACGGGGTGAGATCTTGCGTGGAGCCCCAGATCGAGGGAGATTATCAGTGGTCTTGTATGTCTTCCATTTCCTAATAATTGCTCCCAAAGTTGATTTCTTCAAACCAAGCTGCTTACCTATTGCAGATTCAGTCTTCCCAGCCTGGTGCAGGTCTACAATTTGTGTCCTTTGACAGCTCTTTGGTCTTGGCCATAGTGGAGTTTGGAGTGTGACTGTTTGAGATTGTGGACAGGTGTCTTTTATACTGATAACAAGTTCAAACAGGTGCCATTAATACAGGTAACGAGTGGAAGACAGAGGAGCCTCTTAAAGAAGAAGTTACAGGTCTGTGAGAGCCAGAAATCTTGCTTGTTTGTAGGTGACCAAATACTCATTTTCCACCATAATTTGCAAATAAATTCATTAAAAATCCTACAATGTGATTTTCTGGAAAAAAAATTCTCAGTTTGTCTGTCATAGTTGACGTGTACCTATGATGAAAATTACAGGCCTCTCTCATCTTTTTAAGTGGGAGAACTTGCACAATTGGTGGCTGACTAAATTCTTTTTTCCCCCCACTGTACATGCGGAGGTGTCTCGTGTTTTAAACGTAGCTTACCACAGATGAGCAGTGTTTCTTCCCGCTTTTTATGGAAACCCAAAGGATTCATACCTAACCGCCCAGTGGCTTTAAATAGCCTCCCCTACACACAAACACTCCACGGCATGCTCTGTCCATGGTGCGGACACAGCACAACAGAGATACAGATTTCGCACAAACATGTCACTCAATCATTCAAACTTTTTTTGCTATTTTTATATAGAGACAAACAACTAAAACTGAGGGGGCTAAGCCCCCCATTAGCCCCTTAGTGGAACACATGTGCGTTGTAGCCACGGACAAGCACACCTGATTTAACTTGTCAACTAATCATCAAGCCCTCGATGAGTTGACTCAGGTGAGTTTGTCCAGGGCTACAACAATAATGTGTACGGTTGGGGGTACTGGAGGAGGGCTGTTGGGGGTAGTGGAGGACTGGAGTTGGGCTGTTGGGGGTAGTGGAGGACTGGAGTTGGGCTGTTGGGGGTAGTGGAGGACTGGAGTTGGGCTGTTGGGGGTAGTGGAGGACTGGAGTTGGGCTGTTGAGGGTACTGGAGGACTGGAGTTGGGACACACTGCTCTACATGATTCAGATGTAAACCAGGATGGGTGACATATTGTACAGGCCATGGAAGAGAAAAGCAGGGTAGAACATGAAAGAGGACGTGATGAGGTTTCCTTACTTTCCATCTTTGAAGTATGTTTTAAGTGTGTCGCTGAAGCTCTTGGAGTATTTCACAAACTCTTTCTTTTGGTGTTCCAGTGCCTGGGAAAACAACAGACGCTTTTAACGCTTCTAGAAGATAATTGAGAGGAAAAAACACAAGAATGTCTCAAACTCTGCTGATAGCCGAGGGAGAAAGAAAAGAGCAGATGTCTTAATTGGTGTGTGTGTGTGTGTGTGTGTGTGTGTGTTCTCACCCGTCGGTTCTGGTACTGGTATTTTCGGAAGACAGTGTTGACTGTGTCCAGGAGTTCCTTTATGGCGCTGGCGATATCTCTGTGGACAATAAGTCCAACAGCAGTCAGACATCTTGAACCCTCTCACCTCTCACTCCTCCTTAGTCCAACAGCAGTCAGACATCTTGAACCCTCTCACCTCTCACTCCTTAGTCCAACAGCAGTCAGACATCTTGAACCCTCTCACCTCTCACTCCTTAGTCCAACAGCAGTCAGACATCTTGAACCCTCTCACCTCTCACTCCTTAGTCCAACAGCAGTCAGACATCTTGAACCCTCTCACCTCTCACTCCTTAGTCCAACAGCAGTCAGACATCTTGAACCCTCTCACCTCTCACTCCTTAGTCCAACAGCAGTCAGACATCTTGAACCCTCTCACCTCTCACTCCTCCTTAGTCCAACAGCAGTCAGACATCTTGAACCCTCTCACCTCTCACTCCTTAGTCCAACAGCAGTCAGACATCTTGAACCCTCTCACCTCTCACTCCTTAGTCCAACAGCAGTCAGACATCTTGAACCCTCTCACCTCTCACTCCTTAGTCCAACAGCAGTCAGATATCTTGAACCCTCTCACCTCTCACTCCTTCTTAGTCCAACAGCAGTCAGACATCTTGAACCCTCTCACCTCTCACTCCTTAGTCCAACAGCAGTCAGACATCTTGAACCCTCTCACCTCTCAATCCTTAGTCCAACAGCAGTCAGACATCTTGCAACCCTCTCACCTCTCACTCCTTAGTCCAACAGCAGTCAGACATCTTGAACCCTCTCACCTCTCACTCCTTAGTCCAACAGCAGTCAGACATCTTGAACCCTCTCACCTCTCACTCCTTAGTCCAACAGCAGTCAGACATCTTGAACCCTCTCACCTCTCACTCCTTAGTCCAACAGCAGTCAGACATCTTGAACCCTCTCACCTCTCACTCCTTAGTCCAACAGCAGTCAGACATCTTGAACCCTCTCACCTCTCACTCCTTAGTCCAACAGCAGTCAGACATCTTGCACCCTCTCACCTCTCACTCCTTAGTCCAACAGCAGTCAGACATCTTGAACCCTCTCACCTCTCACTCCTTAGTCCAACAGCAGTCAGACATCTTGAACCCTCTCACCTCTCACTCCTTAGTCCAACAGCAGTCAGACATCTTGAACCCTCTCACCTCTCACTCCTTAGTCCAACAGCAGTCAGACATCTTGCACCCTCTCACCTCTCACTCCTTAGTCCAACAGCAGTCAGACATCTTGAACCCTCTCACCTCTCACTCCTTAGTCCAACAGCAGTCAGACATCTTGCACCCTCTCACCTCTTCTTTAACTCCATCACCCCCTCCCTCCTTTCTAGAATCTCTTACTCACTCTTGGTCTTCTCCTCTCCTCCATCCCTACCCTCTTCTCCCCCCTTTACTTTTAAATACTGCAGTTTCATAAAGCAAATTGGGGAAAAGTTTTTCAACTTCGTTCCAGATAGATTTTTTCTAAATCTTCCACTGAGTAAGTTACTTAGAGAGAGTGACTCAACAAACACAAATGGAATACGAGAAAACTGGCAGAGTTAGCCAAGACAGAAACAACCCCTGAAAGAACAAGTGTGTGGGAGAATAATTGTGCGGGCCTGTGTGTGTGCTAACTTGAGACAGTGTTACATTGGAAAGTAAGTGGGACCAAGATAATTAATTTTTTTTTCGGAGAGTGTGTGTTTTTGGAGTGTGTGTGTTTTTGGAGAGTGTGTGCTTGTGAAATGTGAATCACATCACTGACGGTGTGCTGGGAGGTCTGTGAGCATGTGTATGTGTGTGTGTGTGTGCGCGTATGTATGTACACTACCGTTCAAAAGTTTGGGGCCACTTAGAAATGTCCTTGTTTTCCATGAAAACATACATGAAATGAGTTTGAATAGGAAATGTAGTCAATGACAAGGTTTGAAATAATGATTTTTAATTGAAAAAAATAATTGTGTCCTTCAAACTTTGCTTTCGTCAAAGAATCCTCCATTTGCAGCAATTACAGCCTTGCATACCTTTGGCATTCTAGTTGTCAATTTGTTGAGGTAATCTGAAGAGATTTCACCCCATGCTTCCTGAAGCACCTCCCACAAGTTGGATTGGCTTGATGGGCACTTCTTACGTACCATATGGTCAAGCTGCTCCCACAACAGCTCAATAGGGTTGAGATCCGGTGACTGTGCTGGCCACTCCGTTATAGACAGAATACCAGCTGACTGCTTCTTCCCTAAATAGTTATTGCATAGTTTGGAGCTGTGCTTTGGTTCATTGTCCTGTTGTAGGAGGAAATTAGCTCCAATCAAGGGCCGTCCACAGGGTATGGCATGGCGTTGCAAAATGGAGTGATAGCCTTCCTTCTTCAAGATCACTTTTACCCTGTACAAATCTCCCACTTTACCACCACCAAAGTACCCCCAGACCATCACATTGCCTCCACCATGCTTGACAGATGGCATCAAGCACTCCTCCAGCATCTTTTCATTTGGTCTGCGTCTCACAAATGTTCTTCTTTGTGATCCGAACACCTCAAACTTCAATTAGTCTGTCCATAACACTTTTTTCCCAATCTTCCTCTGTCCAGTGTCTGTGTTCTTTTGCCCATCTTAATCTTTTATTTTTATTGGCCAGTCTGAGATATGGCTTTTTCTTTGCAACTCTGCCTAGGTCAGCATCCCGGAGTCGCCTCTTCACTGTTGACGTTGAGACTGGTGTTTTGCGGGTACTATTTAATGAAGCTGCCAGTTGAGGACCTGTGAGGTGCCTGTTTCTCAAACTAGACACTAATGTATTTGTCCTCTTGCTCAGTTGTGCACCGGGCCTCCCACTCCTCTTTCTATTCTGGTTAGAGCTAGTTTGCGCTGTTCTGTGAAGGGAGCAGTACACAGCGTTGTACGAGATCTTCAGTTTCTTGGCAATTTCTCGCATGGAATAGCCTTCATTTCTCAGATCAAGAATAGACTGACGAGTTTCAAAAGAAAGTTATTTGTTTTTGGCCAGCTCACACGCTCTTCAAGTTCTCATTTAGAAGACTCCTATAAATAATGTGTTCAAGGAATGAACTCTGACATCATATTCAAAGACAGGCAAGACCCATATTGCTACTGCAATCATGGACAGCGGGAATTATTGAATTAAAATAATTATAGGGTTCACATTAACTTATCTAGAGATTAAGTTTTGATTAAAACCTTAATTGAATTAATCAGTATGTCGGAATTCGTAAAGAAAGAAGCATTGGAATTTTGAGAGTTTTTCTTCATTTTTATATATTCAGAAAGCAGCATATGCCTATTTGAGCATGACACAGAGACACAAACTGTTCTCACATTTGATTATTTTAGACGCATTAAATAAGCGGTCATAATCGGGTTTGCTTTTAACAAGCCGTATTATCTGGTATATCAGTAGCAGAATGTGTGTGTGTGTGTGCCTGTAATCGAACCCACAATTGCTGATGCTCCAGATACTCAACTAGTCTCAATAAGTTTTATTGCTTCTTTAAAATCAGCACAACAGTTTTCAGCTGTGCTAACATAATTGCAAAAAGGTTTTCTAATGATCAATTAGCCTTTTAAAATGATAAACTTGGATTAGCAAACACAACGTGCCATTGGAACCCAAGACTGATGGTTGCTGATAATGGGCCTCTGTACGCCTACGTAGATATTCCATTAAAAATCAGCCGTTTCCATCTACAATAGCCATTTACAACATGAACAATGTCTACACTGTATTTCTGATCAATTTGATGTTATTTTAATGGACCAAAAAATTGCTTTTCTTTCAAAAACAAGGACATTTCTAAATGACAAAAACATTTCTGTATGCATGTACAGTGGGGGAAAAAAGTAATTAGTCAGCCACCAATTGTGCAAGTTCTCCCACTTAAAAAGATGAGAGAGGCCTGTAATTTTCATCATAGGTACACGTCAACTATGACAGACAAAATGAAGAAAAAAAAATCCAGAAAATCACATTGTAGGATTTTTAATGAATTTATGTGCAAATTATGGTGGAAAATAAGTATTTGGTCAATAACAAAAGTTTCTCAATACTTTGTTATATACCCTTTGTTGGCAATGACACAGGTCAAACGTTTTCTGTAAGTCTTCACAAGGTTTTCACACACTGTTGCTGGTATTTTGGCCCATTCCTCCATGCAGATCTCCTCTAGAGCAGTGATGTTTTGGAGCTGTCGCTGGGCAACACGGACTTTTAACTCCCTCCAAAGATTTTCTATGCGGTTGAGATCTGGAGACTGGCTAGGCCACTCCAGGACCTTGAAATGCTTCTTACGAAGCCACTCCTTCGTTGCCCGGTCGGTGTGTTTGGGATCATTGTCATGCTGAAAGACCCAGCCACGTTTAATCTTCAATGCCCTTGCTGATGGAAGGAGGTTTTCACTCAAAATCTCACGATACATGGCCCCATTCATTCTTTCCTTTACACGGATCAGTCGTCCTGGTCCCTTTGCAGAAAAACAGCCCCAAAGCATGATGTTTCCACCCCCATGCTTCACAGTAGGTATGGTGTTCTTTGGATGCAACTCAGCATTCTTTGTCCTCCAAACACGACGAGTTGAGTTTTTACCAAAAAGTTCTATTTTGGTTTCATCTGACCATATGACATTCTCCCAATCCTCTTCTGTATCATCCAAATGCACTCTAGCAAACTTCAGACGGGCCTGGACATGTACTGGCTTAAGCAGGGGGACACTTCTGGCACTGCAGGATTTGAGTCCCTGGCGGCGTAGTGTGTTACTGATGGTAGGTTTTGTTACTTTGGTCCCAGCTCTCTGCAGGTCATTCACTAGGTCCCCCTGTGTGGTTCTGGGATTTTTGCTCACCGTTCTTGTGATCATTTTGACCCCACAGGGTGAGATCTTGCGTGGAGCCCCAGATCGAGGGAGATTATCAGTGGTCTTGTATGTCTTCCATTTCCTAATAATTGCTCCCACAGTTGATTTCTTCAAACCAAGCTGCTTACCTATTGCAGATTCAGTCTTCCCAGCCTGGTGCAGGTCTACAATTTTGTTTCTGGTGTCCTTTGACAGCTCTTTGGTCTTGGCCATAGTGGAGTTTGGAGTGTGACTGTTTGAGGTTGTGGACAGGTGTCTTTTATACTGAAAACAGGTGCCATTAATACAGGTAACGAGTGGAGGACAGAGGAGCCTCTTAAAGAAGAAGTTACAGGTCTGTGAGAGCCAGAAATCTTGCTTGTTTGTAGGTGACCAAATACTTATTTTCCACCATAATTTGCAAATAAATTCTGTGTGTGTGTGTGTGTGTATGTATGTGTGTATGGGTACTGACTTGATGGTCTGTAAGAAGCGTACTCTGTCGTTGATCTCATCTGGGATCTTGCTGAGGATGTGTTTGAGTGCCCGGGCTTTGTCATTCAAGTCCTGGAACTCCTGCTCTGGTCTGTCAATCATGAACTCTACACACACACACACACACACACACACACACACACACGGGAAGACAGCCTCAGTCACCATGGAGACGGACAGGTCAACAAGGAGGTGGTGGAATGTAGAGAGAGCATTCCAGAGGCACTAACAGAACAGCCCCACCCAGAGAGCCGTCTGTGTACTGTGACTGTGTGGAAAGTTAGAAAAAGGTACCACTGTAGAGTAGCCCTTTTTCCACATTTTAATAAAACAAATTAATAAAAAATGAAAAGCTGAAATGTCTTGAGTCAATAAGTATTCAACCCCTTTATGGCAAGCCTAAATAAATAAATTTCAGTAGTAAAAATGTGCTTAACAAGTCACATAATTAGTTGCATGGACTCCCTCTGTGTACAATAACAGTCATTCAAAATCATTTTTGAATGACTACCTCATCTCTGTAGCCCACATACAGATAATTGTAAGGTCCCTCAGTCGAGCAGTGGATTTCAAACAGATTCAACCACAAAGACCAGGGATGTTTTCCAATGCCTCGCAAAGAAGGGCACCTATTGGTAGATGGGTAAAAAACAAAGATATCCCTTTATGCATGGTGAAGTTATTAATTAGACTTTGGATGGTGTATCAATACACTCAGTCACTACAAAGACACGTGTCCTTCCTAACTCAGCTGCCGGAGAGGAAGGAAACCGCTCAGGGATTTCACCATGAGGCCAATGGTGACTTTAAAACAGTTGCAGAGTCTAATGGCTGTGATAGGAGAAAACTGAGGATGGATCAACAACATTGTAGTTACCCCACAACACTAACCTAAATGACAGAGTGAAAATAAGGAAGCCTGTACAGAATAATAATATTCCAAAACATGCATCCTGTTTGCAATTACGCACTAGAGTAAAACTGCAAAAAATTTGGCAAATGCCCTGAATACATGTTATGTTGGGGACAAATCCAACACAACACATCAATGAGTACCTTGCTTCATATTTCCAAGCACGGTGGTAGCTACATCATGTTATGGGTATGATTGTCATCAGCAAGGACTGGGGAGTTTTTTAGGATAAAAATAAAACGGAATAGCACAGGCAAAATCCTAGAGGAATACCTGGTTCAGTCTGCTTTGCAACAGACACTGGGAGATAAATTCACCTTTCAGCAGGATAATAACCTAAAACACAATGCCAAATATACACTGGAGTTGCTTACCAAGATGACCTTGAATGTTCCTGAGTGGCCTAGTTATAGTTTTGACTTAAAATCGGCTTGAAAATCTATGGCAAGACTAGCAATGATCAACAATCAACTTGACAGAGCTTGTAGAATTAAAAAATAATAATCCAGGTGTGGAAAGCTCTTAGAGATTCACAGCTGTTATCTCTGCCAAAGGTGGTTGTAACATGTATTGACACAGGGGTGTGAATACTTATGTAAGTTAGATATTTCTGTATTTCATTTTAAATGAATTTGCAAAAACATGTTTTCACTTTGTCTGTATTGGTGTGTAGATGTATTAAATGTAACAAAATATGGAATAAGTCAAGGGGTATGAATACTTTCTGAAGGCACTGTATATTTAGTATTCAAACAGGAGCAAGTACGCTCTCATCACTGTGTGACTGTGTGTGTGTGTGTGTGTGTGTGTGTGTGTGTGTGTGTGTGTGTGTGTGTGTGTGTGTAACTATAGCTGAGCTTTTCATGCTGTGCACAAAAATTCATTACTACCATCAATCAGGCCATGCAGGAGAGAAAATTAAATCCTGGAGGGAAGAAATGGCTCACAGGAGAGGCTGTTTTATTAGTGGAGAAACAGTGCCATCCTGAGGAGACAGACGGTACTGTACACAGAGGCACAATACCCAACATCTTCTAGGCTTAGGTTATTCACTGCAGAACAGACAGACAGACACACAAGCAGACAGAGACAGACGCACACCTTCCACGTCGTCTGCAGCCATGCGCAGTAGAGCCTCTGTGAAGTTGACCTCCACTTTTTTCTTCTCCAGGATCTTCATGATGATGTCCTGGGTCAGCCCTGGGTTCTCCCTCTCAGCCTGACAATCAACCACAGAGTAGATACGTCAGGCTCTGCTAATTTTTTTTAACATTTGAGTCATTTAGCAGACGCTCTTATCCAGAGCGACTTACAGTTAGTGAGCGCATACATTTTCATACTGCCCCCCTGTGGGAATCGAACCCACAACCCTGGCGTTGCAAGAGCCATGCTCTACCAACTGAGCTACACAGGGCCACTAATCAACCCCAGAACACACATCAGGCTCTGCTATTTGAAGAATCTCAAAAATAAAATATATTTTGATTTGTTTAACACTTTCTTGGTTACTACATGATTCCATATGTGTTTTGATGTCTTCACTATTATTCTACAATGTAGAAAATAGTTTTTTTTTTTAAAACTTGAATGAGAAGGTGTCCAAACTTTTGACTGGTACTATGTATATATATATATATATATATATGTACAGTGAGGGGAAAAAAGTATTTGATCCCCTGCTGATTTTGTACGTTTGCCCACTGACAAAGAAATGATCAGTCTATAATTTTAATGGTAGGTTTATTTGAACAGTGAGACAGAATAACAACAAAGAAATCCAGAAAAACACATGTCAAAAATGTTATAAATTGATTTGCATTTTAATGAGGGAAATAAGTATTTGACCCCCTCTCAATCAGAAAGATATCTGGCTCCCAGGTGTCTTTTATACAGGTAACGAGCTGAGATTAGGAGCACACTCTTAAAGGGAGTGCTCCTAATCTCAGCTTGTTACCTGTATAAAATACACCTGTCCACAGAAGCAATCAATCAATCAGATTCCAAACTCTCCACCATGGCCAAGACCAAAGAGCTCTCCAAGGATGTCAGGGACAAGATTGTAGACCTACACAAGGCTGGAATGGGCTACAAGACCATCACCATGCAGCTTGGTGAGAAGGTGACAACAGTTGGTGCGATTATTCGCAAATGGAAGAAACACAAAAGACCTGTCAATCTCCCTCGGCCTGTGGCTCCATGCAAGATCTCACCTCGTGGAGTTGCAATGATCTTGAGAACGGTGAGGAATCAGCCCAGAACTACACGGGAGGATCTTGTCAATGATCTCAAGGCAGCTGGGACCATAGTCACCAAGAAAACAATTGGTAACACACTACGCCGTGAAGGACTGAAATCCTGCAGCGCCCACAAGGTCCCCCTGCTCAAGAAAGCACAAATACAGAGACGTCTGAAGTTTGCCAATGAACATCTGAATGATTCAGAGGAGAACTGGGTGAAAGTGTTGTGGTCAGATGAGACCAAAATCGAGCTCTTTGGCATCAACTCAACTCGCCGTGTTTGGAGGAGGAGGAATGCTGCCTATGACCCCAAGAACACCATCCCCACCGTCAAACATGGAGGTGGAAACATTATGCTTTGGGGGTGTTTTTCTGCTAAGGGGACAGGACAACTTCACCGCATCAAAGGGACGATGGATGGGGCCATGTACCGTCAAATCTTGGGTGAGAACCTGCTTCCCTCAGCCAGGGCATTGAAAATGGGTCGTGGATGGGTATTCCAGCATGACAATGACCCAAAACACACGGCCAAGGCAACAAAGGAGTTGCTCAAGAAGAAGCACATTAAGGTCCTGGAGTGGCCTAGCCAGTCTCCAGGCCTTAATCCCATAGAAAATCTGTGGAGGGAGCTGAAGGTTCGAGTTGCCAAACGTCAGCCTCAAAACCTTAATGACTTGGAGAAGATCTGCAAAGAGGAGTGGAACAAAATCCCTCCTGAGATGTGTGCAAACCTGGTGGCCAACTACAAGAAACGTCTGACCTCTGTGATTGCCAACAAGGGTTTTGCCACCAAGTACTAACTCATGTTTTGCAGAGGGGTCAAATACTTATTTCCCTCATTAAAATGCAAATCAATTTATAACATTTTTGACATGCGTTTTTCAGGATTTTGTTGTTGTTGTTATTCTGTCTCTCACTGTTCAAATAAACCTACCATTAAAATGATAGACTGATCATGTCTTTGTCAGTGGGCAAACGTACAAAATAGCAAGGGATCAAATACTTTTTCCCCCTCACTGTATATGTATATATAAATAAATAAAATACATTTATTCATATTTTTTGGAGTGGCGACAATGATTTAGCAGCGGCGCAAAATGAATATAGGGGAAACACTGGACATTCACCCGCAGAACATATGCAGACACATCAGACTTTACTAATCAACCACAAAACACACTTCAAGTGTCAATATGTAACTTTTTGGGCGACCCGACCGAATTCACATAGAAATGTGAGTTATAGATTTATCATTCTAGTCTGCTCTGTCTCTCCATGTCCCTACCTTTATAAAACGCTGCCCCGCCCCTCCATGTCCTTACCTTTATAAACGCTGTCCTCAGGGTCTGCGCTGCCGACAGGTTCACTCTTTCCAACTGTAAAACACATCACTGCATCAAAACACTTCTTACAGATACCATCTTCTCATTAACATAGCATATATACACATCTCACAAAACAGCTATACAAATTACCACAACATGAAAACACTTCAAACTGCATAGCTAGTAGTTACATACATGGAACTCCATCTCATTAGCTAACACAGCAGAAACCCCATCCAGTACACTGGTACACACAAACAGCATTGAAGTGTGTGTGTGTGGTTTGTTTTACTGTCCTTGTGGGTAGCAGAAGTCCTCACAAGGACAGTACAACATGGAATTTGGGGACAAGTGGGGACATTTCACCAGTCCCCACAAGGAAAAAAGGCTATTTTAGACTTAGGGGCTGGGTTTAGGATTACAATTGGCAAAAAAAGTTTTGGGTCCCCACAAGGACATTCTGTTTTTTTAGCTTTTCTTTTTTTCCCCCATTTTGTTCAGGTTTTCGCTCTCAAAAATCACACCGTTTTAAAAGAAAAGCAACAAAATTGGATGTTCTAAGTCCACAACAATGCTTAAACCACATCAGGAGGCCACTTTTGAGGTCTGGGAAAAATCTAAGAAATGTTGATTTTTGGGGTGTAGTTACCCTTTAATTCAAGTGAGCGCCCAGCCAGAGACCACTGTTTGGGTTAGCGATGTTTCTGTAGCACTCATGTGAATGCAGAGTTTGCAAAACAAATGGCTACTGGATTGATGCAAATAATCATGACATCATTCTGCCAGGTAGGCATATACATTTCACTGAGAAGGTTTTTGGGAAAGCCTTTCCATCTACAAGAAGATGGTTGTCATTACATGAGCATCATCGATAGTCTACACATAGTGGTAGACAAACACGCATACACTCACAGACGGGCATTGCTGTGCCATTGCCTCTTCAGAAAGTCGAAGGAAAATATGAATCACTGATGCCTTTTGTTCATGTCTTATGATAATCTTGGGACAAATTAATGAATTGTTTAATAAAGTCAATACATTTAGTTGATTCCGTACTAAGTTCATTACATTTAGTTGATTCCGTACTAAGTTCATTACATTTAGTTGATTCCGTACTAAGTTCAATACATTTCGTTTGTTCCGTACTAAGTTCAATACATTTCGTTTGTTCCGTATTAAGTTCAATACATTTCGTTTGTTCCGTACTAAGTTCAATACATTTCGTTTGTTCCGTACTAAGTTCAATACATTTTGTTTGTTCCGTACTAAGTTCAATACATTTCGTTGATTCCGTACTAAGTTCAATACGTTTGAATATTGTTGAGTTCCGTTCTAATGTCTGGATTCCTTGATTCCGTCCGCGTTCTCCACAACACGGGTTTTATAGGACTAGACTTATTTCCTGTCCCTCTCTCCCCATCCCAACCACCCTCTCTCCCCATCCCAACCACCCTCTCTCTCCCCATCCCAACCACCCTCTCTCTCCCCATCCCAACCACCCTCTCTCCCCATCCCAACCACCCTCTCTCCCCATCCCACCACCCTCTCTCCCCCATCCCACCAACCACCCTCTCTCCCATCCCAACCACCACCCTCTCTCTCCCACCAACCAACCACCCTCTCTCCCCATCCCAACCACCCTCTCTCCCCATCCCAACCACCCTCTCTCCCCATCCCAACCACCCTCTCTCCCCACATCCCAACCAACCCCTCTCTCCCCATCCCAACCACCACCCTCTCTCCCATCCCCCCTCTCTCTCCCATCCCAACCACCCTCTCTCCCCCCAACCACCCACTTCTCCCCATCCCAACCACCCCCCTCTCCCCAATGCCCAACCACCCTCTCGTCCCCATCCCAACCACCCTCTCTCCCCCATCCCAACCACCCTCTTCTCCCCATCCAACACCCTCTCTACCCATCCAACCCAACCCGCCCTCCCACACCAACCACCCTCTCTCCCCCATCCCAACCACCCTCTCCCCATCCCAACCACCCTCTGCCCACCACCAACCACCCTCTCCCATCCCAACCAACACCCTCTCTCCCCATCCCACACCCCCCCCCCCTCTCCCATTCCCAACCCACCCGCTCTCCCCATCCCCAACCACCCTCCTCCCCATCCCAACCAACCCTCTCTCCCCCATCCCAACCACCCTCTCTCTCCCCATCCCAACCACCCTCTCTCCCCATCCCAACCACACCTCCTCCCCATCCCAACCACCCTCTCCCCCGTCCCAACCACCCTCTCTCTCCCCATCCCAACCAACCACCCTCATCTCCCCCATCCCAACCACTCTCTCCTCTCTCTCCCCCCATCCCACCCACCCACCCCTCCTCTCTCGCCCCATCCCAACCACCCTCTCTCTCCCCATCCCAACCACCCGCGATCTCCCAATCCAACACCTCTCTCCCCATCCCAACACCCTCTCTCCCCCAGTCTCAACCACCCCTCTCCCATCCCAACCACCCTCTCTCCCCATCCCAACCACCCTCTCTCCCCATCCCTCTCTAGAGTCTAAGGGTAATTACACTGTAATGTTATTTCTGCTGTAGCCGGGTGTACCCTTACAAGACCACAGAACACTCCACTCACACGTCCCATTCAAGAAACACTACATCCAGTCTCTACCAAATCCTCTTTACCTCGTGGAAGACGGGGTACATCACAGTGTAGAGTGTCATGGAAACCATCGAGGTCGTCTCTGCTTCATTCTTCATCTCTTCCATTGTCATCCTCGTCCAGAGGCCCACGTGTCTGTACGTCTGTGTGTGTGTGTGTGTGTGTGTGTGTGTGTGTGAAGGCTGCTACAGGGGCAGGGCTCGCCTCATTCACTCACTACTACACAGAGAAGGCTGGGGGGCAGGACCTGAGGAGAGAAGAGGGGGTGGGAGAAAGGGTCAAGCGGATGGACAGAAAAGACAATCCAATGTTAACATAGCCTACTATATGAATACAACACCACATTTAGGCTACTTTATTGCTTCTGTTTGAGGTCTAAATTTAGGCCTTGTTTTTCTGTGCTAAGTAACGTCTATGTCAACAAACATCTAGACTTGGAGGGCGATGACATTTTATAACCAGGTAAACATTCCATCTAGCCTTGGAGGGCGATGACATTATATAACCAGGTAATCATTCCATCTGGCTCAAACCCAATCATGTTGGGCCGAGCGGTGGGCGTGAAGTGATGGACACATGCCCTAAACTCTACCATACACCTGTCCTGCCTGTGTACAGCGTTTCTGTCTGTGAGTGCGTGTGTGTAAAGTGTGTGGAGTGAAGGCTGGTTTCCGTTAGGAATATGTGGTGCCGGACAAGGTGACCGGAAGATTTTAATTTACCGGCCATTTGAGAAATTTACCAGACGCATATGCATCTGGTAAATGTCCACAGTTTACGCCCCCCTCGGGTTCTCTGGCAGGCTATTCCAGAAGCTGGGGGCATAGTAACTAAAGGCTGCCTCTCCACACCTCTTGATCCTGGGTTTGGGATAGTTAAAAGGCCAGTGCCAGAGGACCTGAGGGACCTACTGTGTACGTAACTTAAAAGCATGTCTGTAGCTCAGTTGGTAGAGCATGGCGCTTGCAACGCCAGGGTTGTGGGTTCGTTTCCCACGGGGGTCCAGTATGAAAATGTATGCACTCACTAACTGTAAGTCGCTCTGGATAAGAGTGTCTGCAAAATTACTAAAATGTTACAAATGTAATGTATTGGGGTGCACAATCATGGATTGATTTAAAAACCAATAGAACAATCTTAAAATGAATTACAAAACTCACAGGCAGCCAGTTCAGAGACATTAAAATCGGTGTAATGTGTGCTCTCCATCTGGTCTTGGTCAGTACCTGTGCTGCAGCATTCTGTATGTTTTGCAGTTGACCAATGGCTTTCTTGGGTAAACCAGACAGGAAAACATTACAGTAGTCAAGCCTGCTTGTAATAAAAGCATGGATGAGTCACTCTGTACCAGCCCGAGAGAGAAACAGCCCCACCTCGGCACTGTTCCTCAGGTGGTAAAAACCTATTTTGGAATGTGTGTTTCGAAATTGAGTTCAGAATCTAAAATAACACCTAGGTTTTATTACCTGGTGTTTTATCTTTATTGCCTGTGAATTAAAATGTGAGGCCAGATTCTCTCTCTGTGCTGATTGTGTGCAGATTCTCTCTGGCACCAACAATAAGTACCTCGGTCTTGATTTAGCTGGAGGAAGTTGTGAGCCATCCAGGTATTTAAATCCCTAACACAGTCTAATAATTTATCCATGGAGCTAAAATCCTCTGGTGACACAGAAATGTAAAAGTTGTGTATTGTGTGCATAGCAGTGAAAATCAATGATGTGCTTTCTGATAACGCTGCCAAGGGGTAACATATACAAAACTGAACAGTACCGGACCCAAAACGAAACCTTGTGGAATGCAACATGTGATATGTATTTTCATGAGTTATGTTCACCAAGGGGGTGACAAAAAAAAACTATTGACCGGTTAAATGGGTCCTAAACCAATTCAGAACTGGACTGGAGAGGCCAACCCACCTCTCCAGTCTGTCCAGAAGGACATCATGGTCAACAGTTTCGAATGCAGCACTTAAATCCAAGAGTACAAGGACAGAGAGCTGTTTGGCATCTGTGTTGGCTCTAAGATCATTTACCACTTTAACTCTGTGCTGGGCCCGAAAACTAGATTGGAATGTTTCAAAAATACAGTTGGCACTTAGCTGTTTGAAATCCTTTAGCTGTTTGAAAACCAATTTCTCCAGAATTTTGCTTAAGAATGGAAGGTTGGGGATTGGCCAAAAATTGCTAAGAGCTGAAGAATGTAGATTACTTTTCTTCACCATAGCAGTTTTTTGTGCATTGGGGAAAGTGCCCGTGAACAGGGAGGGATTAACAATAGTGTGCACTTCTTCAGATATGCAATTGAAAACTGTTTTGAAGAAGGTGGTGGGGATAGGATCAAGAAGGCAGGGAGAAGGTTTAAGTTGTGATATCCCTTTCCTGTGCATGTCTGTGTCAACCAGGGAAAATAAATCCATAGTGTCTGTGTGGTAGGCTAGGGCACACATCAAACTTCTCATCAGGTCTTGCTTGACTGATACCCAGCCTAATGTTTGTTATCTTATCTCTGAAATATGCCGCAAACTCATCACATTTAGATGTGGAGGAAAGTTCACATAGGTTTGCGGGGGTAGGATTAATCAGGCCATCATTGATCGAGAAGAGCACTCTCAAATTATTCAGATTATTAGTGATCAAGTTAGAAAAATGAGCCCGTCTGGCATTTCTAACTGCCTTGTTATATATTGCTCAAAAAAATAAAGGGAAGTTATATTTTTGAATAATCTGTCCATAGAACGTTCTTCCAAGAGTCTTGATGATCATCCAGGTGCTTTTTGGCAAACTTGAGTCAACTTTTTGGACGAGATGGGTCCCATTACTCCCAAACAAAGTCATTCTGTTGATCAGGGTATATCAGAGTCCTCACCTATCTGATTACTAGTCTATATATATAAGTCATTCTGTTGTTCAGGATAAATCAGAGTCCTCACCTGTCTGATTACTAGTCTATATATAAGTCATTCTATTGATCAGGATATATCAGAGTCCTCACCTGTCTGATTACTAGTCTATATATAAGTCATTCTGTTGATCAGGATATATCAGAGTCCTCACCTGTCTGATTACTAGTCTATATATAAGTCATTCTGTTGATCAGGATAAATCAGAGTCCTCACCTGTCTGATTACTAGTCTATATATAAGTCATTCTATTGATCAGGATAAATCAGAGTCCTCACCTGTCTGATTACTAGTCTATATATAAGTCATTCTATTGATCAGGATATATCAGAGTCCTCACCTGTCTGATTACTAGTCTATATATAAGTCATTCTGTTGATCAGGATATATCAGAGTCCTCACCTGTCTGATTACTAGTCTATATATAAAAGTCATTCTGTTGATCAGGATATATCAGAGTCCTCACCTGTCTGATTACTAGTCTATATATAAGCCCATTCTATTGATCAGGATAAATCAGAGTCCTCACCTGTCTGATTACTAGTCTATATATAAGTCATTCTATTGATCAGGATATATCAGAGTCCTCAACTGTCTGATTACTAGTCTATATATAAGTCATTCTGTTGATCAGGATAAATCAGAGTCCTCACCTGTCTGATTACTAGTCTATATATAAGTCATTCTGTTGATCAGGATATATCAGAGTCCTCACCTGTCTGATTACTAGTCTATATATAAGTCATTCTGTTGTTCAGGATAAATCAGAGTCCTCACCTGTCTGATTACTAGTCTACAGATAAGTCATTCTATTGATCAGGATATATCAGAGTCCTGCACACGGACAGCCTTCCTGGATCCTGGAGCATAGCTGGCACTGCACACGAGACCACTACCTGAACACAACATCATTGAAACAGAGTAGGCTGCCTACATGGGCGGAGAATCATGTGGCAGTTAACTTAAATACACTGCTCAAAAAAATAAAGGGAACACTAAAATAACACATCCTAGATCTGAATGAATGAAATCATCTTATTAAATACTTTTTTCTTTACATAGTTGAATGTGCTGACAACAAAATCACACAAAAATTATCAATGGAAATCAAATGTATCAACCCATGGAGGTCTGGATTTGGAGTCACCCTCAAAATTAAAGTGGAAAACAACACTACAGGCTGATCCAACTTTGATGTAATGTCCGTAAAACAAGTCAAAATGAGGCTCAGTAGTGTGTGTGGCCTCCACGTGCCTGTATGACCTCCCTACAACGCCTGGGCATGCTCCTGATGAGGTGGAGGATGGTCTCCTGAGGGATCTCCTCCCAGACCTGGACTAAAGCATCCACCAACTCCTGGACAGTCTGTGGTGCAACGTGGCGTTGGTGGATGGAGCGAGACATGATGTCCCAGATGTGCTCAATTGGATTCAGGTCTGGGGAACAGGCGGGCCAGTCCATAGCATCAATGCCTTCCTCTTGCAGGAACTGCTGACACACTCCAGCCACATGAGGTCTAGCATTGTCTTGCATTAGGAGGAACCCAGGGCCAACCGCACCAGCATATGGTCTCACAAGGGGTCTGAGGATCTCATCTCGGTACCTAATGGCAGTCAGGCTACCTCTGGCGAGCACATGGAGGGCTGTGCGGCCCCCCAAAGAAATGCCACCCCACACCATGACTGACCCACCGCCAAACCGGTCATGCTGGAGGATGTTGCAGGCAGCAGAACGTTCTCCACGGCGTCTCCAGACTGTCACGTGCTCAGTGTGAACCTGCTTTCATCTGTGAAGAGCACAGGGTGCCAGTGGCGAATTTGCCAATCTTGGTGTTCTCTGGCAAATGCCAAACGTCCTGCACGGTGTTGGGCTGTAAGCACAACCCCCACCTGTGGACGTCGGGCCCTCATACCACCCTCATGGAGTCTGTTTCTGACCGTTTGAGCAGACACATGCACATTTGTGGCCTGCTGGAGGTCATTTTGCAGGGCTCTGGCAGTGCTCCCCCTGCTCCTCCTTGCACAAAGGCGGAGGTAGCAGTCCTGCTGCTGGGTTGTTGCCCTCCTATGGCCTCCTCCACGTCTCCTGATGTACTGGCCTGTCTCCTGGTAGCGCCTCCATGCTCTGGACACTACGCTGACAGACACAGCAAACCTTCTTGCCACAGCTCGCATTGATGTGCCATCCTGGATGAGCTGCACTACCTGAGCCACTTGTGTGGGTTGTAGACTCAGTCTCATGCTACCACTAGAGTGAAAGCACCGCCAGCATTCAAAAGTGACCAAAACATCAGCCAGGAAGCATAGGAACTGAGAAGTGGTCTGTGGTCACCACCTGCAAACCAGTCCTTT